TCCGTGGAGTCGTTGTGAAACTCTGAGCCAATGGCATCTTCCAATGCGAGCAGCGTTGGAGGTCGGGGCTGAAAAAGCGCCTCGGTTTGGGGTCCATTTTCGGGTTCTCGTCCAGGTCTTGCGAGCGCTGCAGCCTGGCCAAAGTCCAAGTCAGGCCGGGCGTTCGTTGGCTGCGCCGGTCTTTTGGCACATCGAACACAAAGTGAACACGTGAGGCTGGGAAGGCATTCTTGGAGGGGCTCGTTGGAGTCTCGGAGAGAGGGGCACTCCTTGTAGTTAGTAGATAGGTAGTTTCAAACTTTGCTAGGGGTTGACATTTGTAATTGGTTTATTGTCATTCTGAGACCCTGTAACAGAAGGCTTGAATGTTGCCTCGTGAATGCGTCCGTTGCCGAAGATTTAGCGATTTGCTCCTCCTTCAATCTGTTTCACCCACTTTGTTCGATACAATCGCTAAGGCGGCGAAAGAGCTCAGTGTGGTGTCAGGCATAGCTAGAACCTTTGGACTTGGACGGCATGCCTTGGGTGGAGTTTAAACCACGATCTGCCTTTGTGCACGCCATGTCTTCGAGGCCTCAAAGTGGGCCACTTCCGTTTGGAGGATGCAGCAGTGCTGACACAGCGCTTTGCACAACATGTTCCTCAACCGCCCCAGAGCTTCTTTTGCGAGGCTGGAATGGATTTTCAAAATCAAACGGGACTACAAACAGTCTTCGCACATTGCAGCAGTCCCGAGCCGATGCCATCGTTTCTGTGTGCGAGGTGATCAAGCAAATAGAACCACCCTTACATCGTTGGGCGCAAGAGAGAACGCAAGGAAAGCCCAGGACAATGACAGCTACGACATCGATGCATTCACAAACAAGTTGAGAAGATGAGGAAAAGAGCAAAGAAAGGAAGGAACAGTGAAAGGGTCCAAACAAGAACGAACGAACAGGAGTCCTATTCTGAAGTGTCTCATTCTTCTGAACGTTTTCCTCTGTAACTAATGGGTGTTCTGCAACTGCTCTTCGATAGACTTGTCACCGAGGATTGCATGTCCAGTTTCGAGAGACCGAGAAGAAGAAGCAAGTCCAATCACAGGTGCTTCCCATCCGACGGCTCGGCTCAAGCAATTGCCTGCCATCTCATAGACCATTTGATGGGACTGCAGTGCTTTGGGATCACCTCTACTGCACTTCTACTATTCAAGCCTTGGATCCACACTGATGTGGATTGTGAATTCGGGGACTGGACGCAGCAGAATTCGGTAATGGCAAGCTGCTTTTTGAAAAGAGGACAATCACCATAGCGGGTGCCATTTTCTGGATTGCCTTACCATTGAGACCTGCTAGTTACGGATCTAGAGTTGTCAAACCTGGCACTGTTACCATTGCCTTCAACTCGACTCCTTCCAACTTTGTAGAGCATTGGAGAATTTAGTGTGCCTTTCGGCCAAGACTTTTTGGTAAAACAGGTATGTTCGAGGGTTCAACAACTTGTTGGCCATTCTTGATATGCTTGCCTGCAGGCACTACTGCAGTGGTGCTAGCAGATGCGTTTGCTCGAAGCCGCTGCTATGATGGCACGCACCTGCCGTTTGGAATGTTGTTCCCACGACTATGATCTGTTCAAACGGCCTCACTATTTTGATGATGATGATGATGATGATGAGGATGATGTCAACTTGAGGAGGTTCCCTAACTGCCTTTTCTTGCTCGCTTATCTAATTATCTAGCCAATCTAGCGTTGCCTTCTAATCTTGCTTTGTTGAGAGGACTTCGTCCCTCCAAGAAATGTTGCATTGTGTACAACAGCATTGTTTTTTCAACCAACGTTGCATGTTTTGAAGATGCCTTACTAGCTTTGAGGAACATGACACCTGCGCAGAACATGTGAACATTCAGCTGGCCGTAGGCTTTGCACATTCAAGCCAGGCAGTAAACTTCTCGGCATGGTTTGTCTTGCTACACCGCCAACTTTGCCACTCTCTCCGGTTGAGGAGCGAATGTGGGCCTTGAGTGACTTAAACCAATGATATCCAGATCACTTTGCACCCGCTGTAGTCATGTGTGTCGTATCCATGCCGGTAAAGTGTTGCCTGTGCTACGATCGGGTGATATCGGGTGGTTGGATTTCCTGCAGCCATGCAGGTTACTAACAAGCGGTTTGCGGAGAAACGGTTTGTCCGTGGCATTTTTTGTGGCATGGCTGGGTTCACTGTGAAGCTCAGCCCACACAGGTGCTTCAGTTCACACAGTCCTTGACCTTGCTGGGTGCCTCCAGCTTTCACAATCCCTCCGTGTTCGGATGCTCAGCGATGATCAACACGCCAAGAGTGACTTAATCATGACGGTGACAGTGGCTTTGAGGAGCTTTTTGAGATAGTTTGAGGAGCTTTTTCGATTGAATTGTGGCTTAGAGCGCTTGAGCTCCAGATTCTCCATTGAATCTTGCAACTTACATGAATTTGCTTCCAACTGTATATTCTCTGGGAACCTTTGCTGGGCCTTCCTGCAAACCTTCCAGGAAGCCTTCCTGTGATCCTTCACTTCAGACAAACTTTGGGAAGAGAACATCGATTTGCGAAGTGCTGAGGAGAGGCTTCCTTCTCATGCGGCTTAAGATAGCAGCGCGAGGGTCTCAGGATCGAAAGGGAGCGGTGCCCCGACGGTGCCCCGCCCTTGCGAGCCAACGACCGCACGCTAGGGAGCAGATGGATGGTTCCAGCTTGGCACAATGTGCTAAACACCTGGCCGATGCAGGCGAGTCCGCAAGCGAACGCAGACGAATGATACGGAACGGGCAGAAGCGAACGCAGACCTTCATTTTTCCATTTTGCAGGGTAGTTGGAGGCTATTGCTAGTAGGTTGGAGGCCATCGCTATTAGGTTCCTTAAAGTCTTTTATCTTTTACTGTTTTGGACACAAAGTACAGGTCACCGTCCTTTCTAAGGCCTCTATTCGCCTGAAGTCAGTGAAGAGGTTGCACGCCAGCTGGCAGGTGGGAGAGATTTGGACAAGAGCCATGATCTGGGACAAAGAGACTTTCATTGCTTTCGCAATCTCATGTCGTGCAGACTTTCATTCAAGTGGTGTTTTTATCTTGAGCTCCTGTTTGCTCATGCTTCTCGTTTAACACTGTTTTCAGTTGGCAAGCCTCTTGATTGTTCTGACTCTTCTGGGTGCTCAGATTGCAACGATTATGTCTTGTAAAATGGACACATCTCAATAAATAAATCTCATCGACTTGCAAGGGGTTTCGGGGGATACTACCCCTACGTCTTGAGCCGCTAAAAGTAGCAAGGTGGAGTAATGAACATTATTCTCTAAATGTCTTGCAAAAAAGCATCTTCAAAAGCCTTTTTTGTTCAATTTTTCCATTTCTGGTTTATTAATATTCACTTCCTGTCTCTGGAGGCAACCCGTGGTCCTTCACTGCTGCAGACTTACAATGCTGCTTGGCATTTCGGGACGATCGCCACGACACATACACTTTCCTATGCCCCCCAGCACTAGGTTTGTATGCATTCCAGAGACAGGTGATGACAGGTCCTCCAGCATGGAACAATCATTTACTTCATCCAAAGATGTTGTGCAGGCTTATTGCCGCACTTCGGGAAATGGAAGCTTGGTGAGGTCCAGATTTTCTCCGTCTTGCGTCATGGAACATCATGGGAGCAAGAAGCTACTAGGAGCACAGGGCATCGCTGCTAGGAACAAGGAAGCTACTAGGAACCCGGGCATCACTACAAGTAGCAAGTGCATCGCTACTAGTCATGGTATCTATCCGTTTGAGCGTCGCCGTTTGGCACATCGCCCAGCCGAGCTCGTCGATGAGACCTCGCTCGTCGCGTCGCTTGCTCGCCAGTTGCAGAAGAAAGCCTTCCACACACTGGGAAGACGATTCGCAGAACATGCAGAGTTGCTGACCCCCACACAGGTGTCTTGGGCACTGAAAAGGACAAAGATGGGCACCCCAAAAGCATCAAAAAGCTTGTGACATGTTGCATCTGGCGCTTTGAGGCATTGCAAGTAATAGAAACCTTCACGGACATCGGCAACGTTCATGAGGTGAGTGGGGAAGACTTGGCACCAAGACACAAATCTAACAAATGAGATCTTCGGAGCATTGCAGTCGTTCTCCAGTGCAGTCACTTCTGCACCTGTGTTTTGTCTGCTTTCATTTGGAAAACGCAGGTGGCTTTGCAGACGCTCTTCTTGCGGCTCTTGTTGGAGCGCTCCTTCATAGAGCTAGGAGTGAGATGCCCAGGGGGTGACTCCACATGAACAGGGGAAACAGATCAAATATGATAAGTCTAATAAACATAAACATAGAATAAGATAGATACACTGTGCTTCATAGCATCCTCGGGGGTAGTGACAGCAATCGAAGCTGTTCAGACACAATGGATGTCTCCATTCGGGCTTGGCTCTCAGGTTGGGGTGGCTCGACTTGCTGCATCAATGTCCAAGGTGGGAATGCTGCAGACAACCATATTGGTACAGGATGAACTTCGATTTCTGGCACCCAAACAAATAGAAAGTACATAGTACAAATTTGCATACTAGGAACAAGAACGCTACTAGGGGCTCCTGATCGCTACTAGGAGCAAGGACGCTGCTAGGGGCTTGCATCGTTGTGGAAGGACGCAAGAGACCACACGGTCGGGCAACAGTCAACCAACACTTGCTAGGACAGGAAAAGAGAAAGGTTCAAAAGAATACTGGAAGTTTTTCAATATGAATAATGTACATTCCAAATCGGGTCTTCCTTGTCAATTTCGTTCGGCTACAGCTACTCGAGCATTCCAGGTTCAGCATTATCATACAGGACTCTTGCGAGAGATCATTGCTTACATCCAGGAAGAGCAGCAAACCCAGCCTTACTGGAGAAACAGCGATGCAAAGCTGTGCGAAGTCTGAATATTTCTCAATGCAAAACGCTAAGTTTGCAGACATTCAGTTATGGCGGAACTGAGGCCAGAAGTCTTACGGACTTGGGCTGCCGCAGATCTATCGGGCACCTTGAGGAGCATGGGTCTTGCACCCGTTCGTGTGTCGGGTGCCCCGTTCGCAAAGATGGTGAGTACACTTTCAATACATGGATTCGTACACGGATTCTGAGTACGGAACATGATTTTGGGGAATTCATGAGAAGCATTCTGCAATCAGCATCGAAACAGAAACAGAGCAGAGAGCAGAAACAGAGACAACGCGAGCGACAACATGAGGCCATCGGCAATTCAAGTCCTGGTTGGCTGCCGCTATTCGGCCCCTGAGCTCAGTCGGAGCATCTTCTGTCGCGTGCGGACAGCGCCACAGGGCCGCTTTTACGCGACGCCCGAGGCGCTTTTGCCCAACATGAACAACTCCGACCTGAAAGACTTGTTTGAGATTAGTGGTTCAAGACTTAGTCTGCGAGTCTGGTAAAGAATAAATACTGGGTTGGAGGCTATGGCTACTGGAAACAAGCAAAATCGAAAAGGAAGAAAGGTCTAGCATAGTTGGAAGATCTAGCTAGGTATTTCAAGCGAAGTTTCTGCTTCTTCGCCAAATTGTAGAGGTTGGCACCCTGAAGTGCTTCGTGGCGTAGTTCTGCGTGCTGGACGTGTGCTGATGCCACGGCTTTCAGCAGCACAAGAGTAGCCTGGCGTCCCCAAAGGTGACATTCCTCAGCTTCCTATACATGACAGTAGCCAATTCGCAAGTAGTAACAAATGCCACGCTAGTAGTAACAGGTGCCTTACTAGTAGTAACAAAGTTCGCTATTAGAATTAAATGCATACATGACAGTAGCTGCTACAGTAATTCAGGCGACATCCACGACCAATGAGCTTGCTCACATTCTTGAGAGTGGCAGGTAGGGGTCGGTTCACTTTCTATTTTACGCTAAAAGCGGGTCTCGAAACGCCTCACCTTTTATACCGTTTGAGGTGGGGTCCACGAGCCTGTGTCGATGCTGCTCTGGGCTTGGTGCTTGCAGCCGACGTGGGACCGAAGAAGGTTCCCTTAGTGGCTGGAAACGACAGAAACAGTGACACATTGATGCCGTGTTCTAAATCAAGCTTCAAAAAAAGCAAGTAGTCCGTCAAGTAGACAAAAACGATATTTCGCTTAGTTTCTTGAATTCATATCTAGGATTGCAAGAAGCAGCTTAACGTCCTCTCTTGCAACCAGCTGTCACCTGAGAGACAAAGCAAGTATGCCAGGTACTCTCCAGACTAGACAATAGCTTGCACGTATGTTGCAGGCCTTCTCTCCATGCCACGGCTGTGCCTGCGGTGCAGCTGGTTCGGGTCCAAGACTGCTATTCAGTCGATGGATGCCTTCACGGACCCTTTAGACCCTCCAGGTCAATCTGCTTCTTTATCTCCGAACAAGTTCCGGACAGAGCAGCCAGAGTGGCAACTTCAGGCGCCCAGATGTGTAGATTTGTGCAAAACTTATGCGCTCTAGTCTCTTTTAGATAGTATAATTAAGCATAGGTAGGACCATGCAGGTCTTTGCTGGTGCACGGCTCATTTGTATATATATATATATATACATATGTGTGTGTTTTTTTTGGTGTCATGTAGGTTGTTCTTCGTGCAGCTCGAAGCTACAAGCAACGTGGATTGCGACAGACTGTGGTCTGGTTTCCCAGAGACTGGGAGTGTTTTGCCAAAGCTCACAGTTCTCAAGATGTGTAGTAGTCAAGCTCTTGCGTTTTCGAGAAGTTTCCATTGGTTGTTTCTTCTTCCTGTGCATTCTTTTGGTCTTCAAGAAGTGGATTCGAAACAATATGTGAAGATCTGAACCGCTGCACAGGCAAGGCCAGAGATGCCGTTGAAGGGAAGTTCGCAACATTTGTTCTTCCACAACGAGCCAGCTGCTCAAATTCTTCCAATTGCGGCCTGCCAGGCAAGGATGTTTTGAGACAGACTGCGATGTTTTGCGAACGCCCTTTGTTCGTAGTAGCTTCTTGTTCCTAGTAGTAAGGCCAGGAGCCCCTAGTAGCGTCTTTGCTCCTAGTAGCGATATGCCCTTTGTTCCTAGTAGCGCCCTTGCTCCAGAAACGACGGAACGAATGGACCCTGTGAGGCTCCTTGGTCTTTGACACAGGGCCGGCGCCACCGGCGGCTGAAGATAGCGCCAGTCCTAGCAGCGATGCTGGGAGAGGTGCGCGGAGGGCGAATAGACTGAGATTTCTGTAACGCTTTCGAAATGTTGTCTTCCCATCTGTCTTCTGCTGGTCGTTTCTCTCACCATTCTTTTCGCCGTTCCCTATTACTTCGCTTTCACATTTGCAGACGTCCAAACTCACACAAAAAGCACTGGATACGGTGCAAGCACAATTGTTGCAAGATGTTGCAAGAGGCAGCCGGGTCTGTTGCATTTGGCCGAGTGGCATGCAGGCATATAGCTGGCTCAAAGACCCAAATCATAAAAGACTCAAAGACATGCGACTCTTTGTGATATTGCTGTGCGGGGCGTTTTCAGTGCGTCGTGCTGAATTAGTTCGCTTCAGATTAGGGATGAAGCTCCAGAATGCCACTTCAAGTGTGCACATTGCAGGCAGCTTCAACAATTGGGATCCAACTGTCACAAAGTTGAGTGATATTGACGGTGATGGTTCCAAATTTGAAGTTGTTCTTTCATTGGATCCAGGAACCTATGAATTCAAGTTCATCAATGGCAACTCTTGGACTGATGCTGAGGAAGTTCCTTGGGCCTGTAGTGAGCAGAAATCCGGGCACTTCAATCGCTTTCTCTCAGTGAAAAGCAACGAGTCAGCAGACGTTGATGTTTGCTTTAGCGCATGTGTCCCTTGCGAAGTCCTTCCACCGTGCAAGCTCTTCACTTGCCCACCATCCATGGTTCATCGCCAGAGCGAGTTGGAAACAATTGCCACTCTGTCGGGGGAGTGTTGTGAATACAGTTCACCCTTCAACAAAGATGTTGTGGTGCGTAGCGCTGGATGGTCTGATGGCAACAATGTGTCATTCTGGTTGAATGGTAAAGTGATCTTTGCAACAAGCCGCAGGGGTCTTACTGTCATTCGCTTATCCATTGAAGGAGAGCCCCAAGAACCTCAGACCTTTGACACGAACATGAACTCCGTTGAATTGGAAGCGTTCCTGGAGAGTGTGCCCAGCAACACCACAATTCTACTTGGAGCATCAGACGAGGCTTCACAGGGTCTAAGTCCAAGGGCACAAGACCTGATTGAGTCCTTTGGAGGTCGGCGGATTTCTCACTTGACGTGGCGAGGATCCTACGCTTTGATTGGCGTGAAGAATGGATCAGCTTTTGCTGAGGCAATCACAGAGTCTGGGGAAGGTATGGCAGTTGCTGTTGGCATTGTGCCATGGATTGAGCTGCCTCCAACAGAGGGCCTGGAATGGTGTGATGCTAGAGCTGCCATTCCTGCCACCAAGGGAAAACTACATTCCAGTGGCAATCTGGAAATTCATGCGACTGATGGCAACTGCAGATATCCCGTTTTTGAAGCGGACAGTGTGAAAACATGCTTGAGAGGTCCCTCGGGAGGTCCCGGAGGGGCGTGGGTTGTAGTGCTTGGCACCTCCAACGCGCAGCTGCTCGCCAACACTCTCCTCTTTATGCTTGCGGATGAAGCTGCTCTTTCTCATATTCACTTTGGCGAGTACAACTTTCATGACTTTGTGATTGAAAATGGCACTATCAGCTATCACAATGTGATTCGCATTGATGACATCCCTCCTTGTAAGCAGAATACAACTGGACCAACCACCCAGGAGCAAGAATGCCAGGAGAAGCCGAGAACGAGCGACATCGCCCAACAAATACTCTATTTACAGTGTATGAAAAAGTAAAAACATAAACTTCTTGACTCTTGAATACTACTACGAACAAGAAGCTACTAGGACCTAGGAACAAGTGCATCGCTTCTAGTAACAAGTGCCTTACTAGTAGTAACAAGGACGCCTTGTTTTTGGGGTTTCGTTTTCTGAGCGCCCACAGGAGATTTTTGCTGGGGAGCTCTCCAAAGCCCCAGCTCCGTCATCTGAACGCATCCGGGTGACCATGACGATTTCGTTCTTTTGGGAACGCGTGCGATCCATGATGGACATTGTGGAAGCAGATGAAGCCTGGAAGGACACGAAGACTTTGAGAATGGCAGACTTGTGTGTTTAGTGGAAGCAAGCTTGACCACCTAGTACCTTCTTGTTGCTAGCAGTTCATGAACACAGAGGTCGGAAGATACTGTGCATGCTTCTTACGTTGCAGTTTTGGAAGGCTCACAAACGCAATTTTTCAGATTCTTAGATAAGAGGACATTCCTTGGAACTTTGTATAACTTTGCAACGAAACCTTGCAAAGCCTATAGGGCCTAGTTTTGTTTGAATTATGCTTGCTTTTGAGGACGTGAAGGTTGGCTATGTGACGCAGGTAGTGGCCTGGTATTTGGTGTGTCAGAATATCAAATCGTATCTTTGCCCAAGGACGGAATTGAAGTCGGAGACTGAGGATGAGGTCTTTGCAAAGTTCGCAGATGAAATGGATATGGCCCTGAACCACATGGAGAGATCTTGCTCCACAGGCCGTGCTGCACAGGGCTTTGGTTGCGTCGTGGGCACCAACAGCTACACCGAAGCACAGGGGTCTTTGATTGAAGCCTTTCGTCGCTTCAATGCAACTAGGGTGCAGGCCATCGCAAGTAAGTAAGAGGCCATTGCTCTTATATAGGTTGGAGTCCGGAGGCCATCGCTGTCGCTATTAGGTTGGATGCCATCGCTACTAGGGTGGAGGCCGCTCTAAACCCCATCGCTTAGGTCGCTTCAATGCAGAGGTGATGCGCTCCATGACGAGCCGAGCGACTCCGATGTTTCGTGCCTTGGACTTCTTTCAGCTGGGTGAAGCGATGCCGCGCGAGACCATTGCAGGTCATGGTTCTCAGACACTTCATTTGTGGCTTTGGATGCTTATATTTGGAGGATGGTGTCATGAAGACTTGGCTTCAAGAAACTGGCATGTTGAGTTCCATGGACAGCTTTGCAGCGCAGAACATGTGGATCCCATATACTGTCCTCGGATCACCTACGGTGTTGAATGGCACTGTATGAACAGCATACCCTGCATGATCAAGGCAAGTCCCGAGTTGACAACTTCAACCACGCTGCCAGCTGTTGTGCCTGTGACCTTCAAACTTGACATGAGCAATGAAGTTGTTTCAGCTATGGGGGTGCACGTGGCTGGCAGTTTTCAGCTCTGGGATCCAGCAGCAACACCTTTAGGTTTGAACCAGGATCTCATCTATGAAGCAACAGTTTACCTAAGCCCCGGCTCCTATGAGTACAAGTTTGTCAACGGTGATTCTTGGGGTGGCGAGGAGCAAATTCCAACCACTTGCGGCTTGGGAGAGTTTTCCAATCGTATCTTTTCCGTGAAGGATACACCTGTAGTTCTGGAGGCCTGCTTTGGTTCATGCTTACCCTGCGACGCAAGTGGAACAAGCCTGACTGTCTCACAAACAGGCACAAAGACCGCAACCAGCACTATCACCAGAACAACGACAACTACGCTGGAGCTTTTCTTACCCGTTGATGGTGGCATAGACAGAGCATGCCGTGGGGCAAGCGCGGGAGACAACCATGCTAGCTATTTTCAGGTGATTGAGACAGCCAGTCTCGGCGAGTGCAAGCTTTCATGTCTCGGAGCCAGTCCCGACTGTGTTGGGATCGAATACAGTCTGGGCCGCTGCGAGATTTGGACTCGCTCGGAAGGCATCCAAGCAAGCATCAGCCTTTCCGGTTTTCAATGCTACAAGCGCAAGAGAGCAGATCCGACATTCTCGTATTTCCATCCGGTAGATGGTGCCACAAACCGCGCCTGCCGTGGTGAGCACCCGGGAGATAACCTTCAGAGCTACTATGATGTTTTGAGATTGCAAAGTTTAGAGGAGTGCCAAGAACACTGCGTCTCCCGTTCGGCAGCTCCTTGTGTCGGAATCGAGTATAGTTTGGGACGTTGTGAAGTTTGGCACCGACCGGAGGGAATTCATGCCAGCATCCAATTGCAGGGCTTCGTTTGTCAGAGCTGCTTGGTGCAAACACGGGACTCAGGGGCATCGACGCCGTAGACTCCTGGTAATATGCATAAAACTTGCCAATGAATCCAATGAACAAGTAAAGCGTCTTGAGCGAAAGCGGACAGAAAGTGCTGTGGATTTGCAAGGAACTGGAGTTGACTTCCAGTTCACGATACTCAGAACATAGCGCCCTGCGTGCGCCAGGTTGGCATCAGCCATCCAGCGCCTTCGCAACTCACCCCGATCCAACCCGTTGGCCAGAGGTGTCGAGTAAATGAGGTTCGAAGGACCCAAGGGACGAGGGGTTCTCCGGGAAGGTATCAGCTTCATAGCATTATCATCGGTATCGCAACATGACAATCGGTTTCACAACACGATCATTATCGATCACTGGTTTCATAAAGTTGTCATCCTTTTCATAACATTGCCATTTTGAAGGGAAAAAACGCTTCTGATCCAATTGAATATCGCAACCTGTTGGCAGTTCATAGACTCAACAGGACTCAACAAAATGCCTTGTCTAGAATAGAAAGCGCTCTGGATGCACTGGTCCTCTTTCGCTCAAAATGAAAGGCCTCAGTGCACCGTCCCAATGTTCAAACAGCCGTGTATCTGAAAAAGACACAAGCCACGCGTGCAATGCATCAACTCATTTTTCCATGGCGAAACTGAAACATATGATTTTGAGCACATGGACATGCTTCTTTCGCATATGCCCACGCAGTTTTAATATACCTATAAGCAGTTTGCATCCATGCCACACATACAACTCATCATTGAGATCCATTGATAAGCTTGAACATGCACGAAGCCAAGTCGATGCCTAAGATAACAACTTAAGCATTGGTGTGCAACCTTCTCACCAAGGGCCCTGCAAACATACACTATCCAAGCTGAGCACAACCAATTAAACCCTTCGGAGAACCTCCCGTCCCTCCGTCGAAGGATTGAGCAATTTTCGCAGGAAAGGAGGAAGGAAGGTTTACTCGCCCACTGCAGCCCCCAATTTGTTGATGTCAAACTGCCCAAAAGTCATATGAGTTTTGTCTTGGAGTTGGTGCACAGAAACCGCACCAAACTCTGCTTGTTGAGACGGGCTAAGGGTTGCGGGCAAAAGGTTTGCGGATGCACACAACATGTGTTGTTCGAACACAGCTTCGGTTGACGGTCAAAGCACCCCATGTCCCTTGTTGACTTGCTGAAGTGCTGCCGTTTCTTGGTTGGTTGCACTTCATGGTTGCACCTCATCATGGTTGCAAGCCCTTCTGCTTTTTTCCTTAAAGGTGATTGAAGGTAGTATGTGGCCAAAATATACCAACATGTGTTTTATGTTTATGGTTCTGTGGGAGCAGCAGGAGGTGCTTTTCGTCATGTGCCAAGGCTATGAGCCACCACGCCGATTGGCCAAGCAGCGCTTTCTGAGAGGATAATGATTCGATGATATTCGATGTTAAATTTTGTGTACAGCCATTGCTTGCTGACATACAGAGTGACATGGGCTGGCACAAGTGAGCTGTCTTCTTCAAGGGGGTTGGCAGCCTTCTCCAGCTCATTCAATTCAGTAGGCTTCTGCCCAGGCAGGGCAGCAAACAACTTTTTCCTACGGGCTCTGTGTCACGGTTGGCGGGGACTGCTGGCAAACTCGGAGGCGAAGCCATAAGAGGGCTCAATAAAGAAGGGTTAAGAAAGATGTTCAAGAGGTTCTCAAGATGATAGACAATGCTACAACCTTGGGTCTTGGACGGAACTTCTTTGTGGAAGTGTCAAGAGAAAGTTTGCTTGAACGCCACTAACTACCATGTCATACATGTGTATCACATGCACTCGTTCTTACAAAAAGCATTGTTAAACCGGGACCAGTTGCATCACCCGCCCTCGTGGGACCAGATGCTGGCTTCTGCGCCAGAGGCGTCAAGCTGGCGATGGCAAGTCTTCGGCGGAAAGCATGACAGAATAACTGATGGGTGTGTATTCCAAGAGGGAGACACCCCCAACCAATGGGTGTTGGTCTATTTCGACTCATATTTATGACTTTTGTTTCAACTTCTTATTTTTTTTTTTCACGCCTGTGCTACAGACATTGGCCATCATGAGTCCAAGATTTATCAAACTTGGCTTGTCAAATTGGAGCTTTTGACGAAGACCGATTGACGCCACTGGGCACTTAGCCTCGAGTGGCTTGCGGATTGAGATTTTACAGCTTGGAGCTTAAGGCTCCACACTCCCGTGAGCAGAAAGACTTGGCTGTCTGCCTATTTGTCGCATTTGTAGTGCGGAAGCTGAACTCATTGTTTGTCAACAGGCATTCTGTTTGCCCAAGGCTGCTGTCAGTGTTCTTGTTTTTGAAAAGGCAGTGACTAGTAAGTACGTATGTTTGGTGGAGTCCTCTGGCTATTTGGAGTCTATGTTGTACTGTTAAGGATGAAGTCCGTTGTGCCAGGTCTTTCCCCTGCTACTCGGGCGGCTGCGCGAGCTATCTCAGGTGCCTTTGGGGCACATAGAGGGAGAGCTGGCGATATTTGTCCCTGATGTAACCATGGCATCGGGCTTGAACAGCATGCCTTCGGGCTTGAACATCAGCATGCCTTCGCTTGGGGTTGCTCTTGAACTATCTTGAAATACGCTGCGAGGCCCTGTCAGAATTGCCTGGTGCAGCAATGCCGAATGCACTCATTGAGGGCTTGCCGCGTGGATGCTCAGACGCTCAAAGACGCTCAGATGCTCATTGGCCACTAAGAACTTCCGCAAATCAAAGCAAAGTTGCTGGGCGACTTATAAATTCAATCAAAACACAGACAAAACAACAACAAATTGGCTCACTCAAAACACAAACAACACACAACTTATTTTGGTGTGATGTGTCGTTTGTTGATGTTTCCTGCTTGTTTTCTGATGTGATGCAAAGTTTATTTAATTTTTGGGTGATGTGTCGTTTGTTTGCAGCTCTGAAGACTCTTTGGGTTGGCTCCATTCACATGGTGGTCAAGGGTTTTGATGCTGCTGCCTTTGCCCTTCCTTTTACCATATTCTGTGCAAGGCCGCCCCTGGAGAGCGTCGGAGGACCTTTGCCACCGTCAAGGCAAATTCTTTCAGAGGAGATCTGAGAGGATTGTGCGAACGGCGAAAGGAATCGGAAAGAATCAAGAATGAATGGAGGACCAGGCTACCATAGGCTACCCAAGCCAAAAGCCCTGAACTTGCTCAGGAGAATATCCTGGCACCTCCAGCTTTACTTCCGGCGCAGTCGGAATGGTGGGAGGCCAGCAGTCTTCTTAGTGTCACAGTCGAAGTCTTCGGTGATGGAAGCGGCTTCGACCTTTTCGCTGCTCGAGGATGCTGCGGCTTCGACAGAAGGTGTCCAGGCTGAGATCGCTGAGCGAGAACTGGAGACTATGAGACGATCTGAAATGCTCCAGGCGCCGGCAGACTATGGGATAAAGTGAGTCATTGGAAAGGAGACAGTTTATGAAGAACTCAGCTATCGATATTTCGCTTGAGACTTATACTTTTTTTGGGCTTGATGAGATGAGACCAACTGACCAGAAAATGCTTTCAATACTTTCAATCTGCACGCCATCCTTGCAGTTGGATGGGCGGGTTCAGCACAGCGTGTAGGGTCTTTGGCAGTTTTGTTTTAATCGCCAAGCAGCGCAGCATAGAACAGAAGCAGGTCGCTCTAAAGCAAGTCTCGATTGAGTAATACAGTATATTGGTTGAGTCATGCAAGGTTTGCGTGCAAACACTGGCTGTGATGCAGCTCTTCTTCTCAGCAGGCTAGTGCTGTGCATACCAGCTTTTGAATCGTTTGTATGGGAGACACATCACTAAAATGATGTGCAATCACTGAACATTTTGATTTGTTTTGTTTGCCATCTCCTCTGACTTGACTTGGAAGGCTCCTCATCTCAGCTTTCTGAAGCTCTGCCTCGAGAGACCTTGCTGACATTGGCAAGGCAGAGATGTGTTTTTGTTCGCCTCGTGCGCCTAAAAGGCACCAAGACGAAGAACAAACACAGGCTTCGCAAAGCAATGCCGTCTCGACCTTCAAAGTCTTTCATTTGTAAAAGGTGGGATTGTTCTCCTTAGCTTTTTTGTTGAAGCTCGAAACTCGTGAGGCTGGTTCCCATGGTCAACTATTTGCTTCGCGCGGGTGCCTAGAGGCTACGGATCAAAGTCAAGTGCTGTCATTTCTGAGTTCACTTGCTTTTTTGTGGTTGTTGAAAAAAGAAAGACACACAAAAAACGAGGAGCAAGGACGCTACTAGGGGCTCCTGGCCGTACCACTAGGAACAAGAAGCTACTAGGGGCTCCTGGCATCGCTACTAGGAGCAGGGACGCTACTAGGGACAAAAAGGATACTATGTTTTTTCCTTTTTGCTTCGTTTTCTTCTCGTTCTCGAGGTCCACGACGTGATGATCCGATCGCCCAGCGCTTTCAGCTGGGACCCTTGCGGATTGAGGCGTTCGTCAGGCGCCCTGACGAGCGGATGCAGCAAGAAGTCTACAAGGCGAAGAAACGATGTGAAATTGCATGTCTTCATAAGCAGATATATATAGCTAGTAGTAACAAGTGCCACGCTACTAGGAACAAGTGCCTTACTAGTAGTAACAATAAGAATTTAATTGGAATTAAAATTCCATATGTTTAAGCCCGGGAGGTAGGCCGTTAGAGGTAGGTAGCTAGTAGCAAACGGTAGCTAGTAGCTTACTTCAGCTACTACCCCAAAGGCGGCGGGGTAAGCTTCCTTCAAGAAACGCTCACGCTAATGATGTGGTTCCTTGACTTTTACAGTAACTACTTGGGTACATATTCTATACACTTGGGTACACTTGCGCATTTATGGTTTTAGGGTGTGCCTTTGTGCAAATACATTTCCTTCTCTTTCACTGGCATGGATAGGTCTTGCAGAATATGATCCCCTTCATACCACGCTTTATGGGCTGGGAAACATGGGATTTGCGACCGCAGGACGGCCTTCCTTTTCAGATCACACATCTTTTCTCCGCTTGAATGTCTGAGTTTGAAAGGACACGCTGAATGGGGAGGAGACCGGCGGTGCTTTTATGACTTTGCAACGCGATCTGGAGATTCCGCCGTTCATCGTTTGCTTGGTGCTGAAAAGAGAGCATTGGGACTTGCACTTTGATGGCCAACATCCATAGAACCTCCGCCAATCTACTCATTCTGATTTACACTGGTCGGGCAGGAGGTTAGCCATGTGTTGTTTCCAGTTTTTTCCTAAATCAAAGACTTTCTCGAACAGCATGGTTGCAAGAACATGTCGGTGAAGAACACAGCTTGATGAAGCTGCAAAAAGCAAGTAAGTATATACAGTTCATATCAAGAAAGCAGCAAAGCAGGAGGTTGCAAGGAAGAATCAACCAAACATGTAATTTCAGCAAATCGAACGCCGTTTTGGGCGCTAGTACATTATGCAGGCTGTAGTTATGGTATTTCACTACTTCCACTGCTCACAACAGCTTCATTCTTTGAGCAAAACAGGTGCCTCGGAAGAACTACTGTACAACACGATTCTTGCCGACATCTTGCTCTGGCTCCTAAAAAGTGAGTTTAGCTCAAGAATTTCAGTCGATCTGAACTTGAGTCTTCAGTCCTTCAGTTCAAGGCAGTTATTGTGCTTACATAACTCATATGCAAGGTGAGATGCTGTTTATACGATTTTATACGCATGAAGGGGCGTTCCAATTTATTGCTGAAAGCCGTTTCAGAGCGTTTCATGAGCGGCACGCTGTTTACACGCACCTCAGCTGCAGAGCGGTCCAACCCGACGAACGTGCGTTCGTGACATGCGTCATATTGCATCGTCACAGCAGAGGAATGTACCTTGAAGTGGGTTGAAGTATGTTGAAGTCGTGTTTACCATGTGCTGCTACAACCACCATGTGCACCATGTTCGCATATGTTTCCGCGGTTGAACTATCTATATAAGTCTGCTGTGCTTGGTGGATGGAGGCAGATGTCAATGACATGCGGTTGACAATGGTTGAAGCTTTGTGTGGTGCAAGTTGTCTGCCACCGACCATCAATCGGAATCAATCGGAAGGACACTGAAACGAAACCGCGATTTCTACCTCATGATTCAGCTGAAACAGCTTCAACGGCACAAACAGACCCAGAAAACATCAGACAACGCTTGAACAGGTTGAAATGGCCTATAACCGACCCTAGAAACAGCTGAAATGGTGGATGGGCAAGCACCGACCCGAATCCAGACCGCACTACATTTGCGCCATTTTGCGCCAGCGAACTGCTTGGTGAGTTTTTCAGTTTCAGTACTATCTATGCTGCGATTGGTCGGTGGGGGTTCAGTGGTTTCTACTCGGTGCGAAGAAGAGAGCTGTGTCGACCCCCCTCTGGTATCTGACAAGACGTGTCTCATGACTCATAACACTGACAAACGTGGCATACCGGTGTCCACCGCGTTCGTGTTGCACTCCTGTTGCACTCATTGGCTTCGTGGATTGACCCGTTCGCCCCGCGTCTTCCGAACTCTTCAAACACCGAGGCCGTAACTCTGGATGTTTTTTGGAGCCACAAAACCCTTGTATCGAGCAACCGTGCGTTTGAGGTTTGCAAACGTAGAGTTAGGGAACAAAAAGATAAACGCTTCAAACACACATGCGTGACACTTGCTTGAACCCTCTGATGTGTGATTCCGAGGCTGACATGGGGAGTTCTAAGACTCCAGAACCGTTCGGCATGCTGACGCATTTGGTACAGCGTATCATGCAAGGACAGTAAGCCTTGAAAACTAACCAGCAAAGGCTCAAGCAGCCGGTGCTTTCGGGAAAGCATTGCTTTGGCATCTCCGTGAATCAGACAACATTGTTGCCTCGTTGCTGCGCAGTTGTGGAGAAGTGTCAATGCTTGGTGAATCAGATGTTACCAGAAACCAAGAACTGTGAAACATCCAAATGCAATTGTGTTTGTAAATCGCCCAGAATGGTTTCTGAGCGAAACCAGGAAGGGTGAGACTGTTTGTACGCAAATGGCCGGTAAATAAGAGGCAACACTTGTAACTTGTAACTGTCAACTCAGCATAATAAGACTGAGGGCACGCCCTCAGCAGTGCCTGCACCAGGCATTTCCACCTTCATAACCTCAAACCCTAAAGAGACATGTTAAGCACAAGTCATGTCCACTGCCAGTGGCTTGTGCTTTCGAAGAGTGCCAAGCGCCGTTGCCAGCCTTTGCGAGCCCGACAATTGCATTTGAGACCTGGAAGGCCTTCGTAGCAGGATACTGCAAGATCTCCAGCAACATTTACTGGAAACGCGGTTCTTTGCCCAAATACCTCTGCTTGCACTGCTAGCATCATCTAAGCTAGCTTCTTGCATGTGGAAGTTTCAGCTGTCGTGCGATAGCTGATTAGGTCTTTGTTGCAAGGCCTGATTTTGAGAAGTGTAGCGGAGTGAATGATTCGTCATGTTTACAGCTGATCTCCGGCCAGTTGGTCAGGTTCTCCACCTTGTGAAGCTCAAGTCTTTCCGCCCAATTTCCACACGTAGAACCTGTTCACAGGCATTCATGGACTGGATGTGTAGGAAACGTGGCGCTGCACGCTGGTGCTCAATTTGAGAAAGAGCTGCCCGCAACTGTATTCTCGATACAAAACACTCTGCTAGGATAGCTTCCTCGCACATACTATAGGCGATCCATGTGAGAGCCAGGAACGGTCTTGAAAAGCAGCTGCTTGACAGCTCCCCTCTCCTGATCAGAGCCAATGATAGGTTTCTGTTTCGCCGGAACAAAAGCCGAAATTCTACTTTCAAGGCCTTTAAGCCCTCCTTCTTGGAG